CCAACGCCGAGAGCTCGGCAGGCTGCCGCCCCGGCTCTGCCCCTTGCAGCCTCTCGGGGTGCCCTGGTGATGTCCTCTGTTAAATCCCACCCTGGGTGTGCTGGAAAGCGTAAAGAGCAGCAGCAGCAGCAGCAGCGGGGTCCTGCCAGCTTGTTCTGGCTGCAGGGCAAGAGGGGTTCAGCGGGAGAGAGGGGGATGGATGGGTCTGCGGGGTCAGGGGTGGGCACAGGGGAGGGAGGGAGAGCCGGCTTAGGGGGGACTGTGGGGAGAAAGAGCGTTAGAGCATCGTTGTTTGCTGAAACCCTTTTCCTCCCATCCTTGCAAAAGGCTGATGATACAGTGCATCCTTAAATTCATCATTCAGTGAGGTCTCCGGCACTTGAACCTGCTGGCTAAAACGTGTTTGAGACTATTAAGTAACTATTGGAAGCAGGGGAAGTATGTTCAGTCTTATGTTAGTTTGTTCCTCTCCTCTACTAATTAGCTCTGTCTTAACAGGCTATTTCACAGTTTGGCCGAACATCTAAACTCCTAAAAGCGCAGATCTGTTCTGCTGAGGGAGCTCCTCTTCTGTATAGCCCGCCTGTACAGCCGCAAATACTTACCGGTACAGATTCAGGTCTCAGTAAAAGTTTTTTATCGTGGTGGTTCACCTTCTGCCCCTCGAGATTGCAGCTGGTAAATCAAGAAGCCCGAGTTTCACACTTCTTGAATGCCTGTAGCGTAGCGGCTTGGGCTGTGGTGGGGCTTGAGCGGGCAGCGGTGTCGATGCATCTCTGGCCGAGCGACTGGCACAGGGGCAGCGTGCTCTGCCTGCGCTTCCCCTGCGTTTAGCACCGGCGAGAGCCGGGGCTGCTGCTTTCTTGCCTTCCCTTTCCATCCCTTGGTGAATTTGGCTTTAAAGCTCTCCAACGGGAACTAGCTGCTGGTTTGCAACCTCTTCCGTTTTCCTTTCTGCCTCCTGCGAGCAATCTTGCTGCTGAAAAGGGGTTTCGCCTCCTTTCACGTAGCGTTCGTCCAGCGCTGGCTAAAAGCCGAGCAGCATGCCTTGACGTGGGCGAACGGGGAATTTAGGAATAAAACCGGTGAGCTGTTAGGCACGAGCCCCGCTCCGAGCGCTTCACCTGCCCGGTGTCGGTGGGGAAGAGGAAAACCACAACCAAAACTGCGATTGTGGTACGGACCTGGCTCGCAGGGTTCCTCCGCTGCAGCCCTGCCTGGC